CCTGCAACTGGGGACCCCCTATTGTTCCTCTTTTGTTTGTACTTTAACTTTTTTACAAGACCACCCATATGTTTTGTACACAGTTGTCAATCGGGGACCTTATTGTCCTCTATTGTTCAAGGTCCCCAATTGAATGCAGAAACAAACTCAAGTACACAGCCATCATCCCCACCGTGTCTGAACAGTTTGTATCCTACCTTAGACATCCCAGTACTGTATCAGTGCATCCTCAACTCCATGCATGTACATGACCAAGCCACCCTGCATCAATACAGTAGTTTCCAAAAGACAAACAGAATACACTTTCCGAAATGATGAGCTTTTCTCTCATCATCAGCTCTTCAAAGATTCAACACCTTCCTGAAAGAGATTGTTTCCATGGCGTAACCACAAACACAGAGGTACATGTACCTCTCTGTAAAGTTCATCGTTTCTTTCCAACTGTCTAAATACTGAACTAAAACCTACATGTATACATATGTCCATGTATGTACATCGACAGAAAAATGCATTCAATGTATGTGTACATGTACACCTACATGTACTGAACATACCGTTTCCTTACATGTACATGTACCTCTTCCATCCCAGACTACCCCTGGTCTCATGTGTACAAGTATACTTGTACAGTAAATGCATGTACATACGGTACAGTAGGCATACTTGTACAGGCGTGGCATACATAGTGTGGACCTCACAAAAGTAATGTAGGGTATGATGGCGTTGTGTGGACTCGCCCCTGTCCACACAATGTTTCACCCTCTCTGAAAACAGTTTCACAGGCATTTTGGGGTCAAGGTTATCTGTGACAAAGTGAAGATGAACAGTCCAGGAAATCATCAAAAATCAAACTCCAACTCCTACAATGAAGTTGAATAAAAAGGAGCATTTTCCTCAAGTTTCCTTAACCACAGGAGAATATATATTCCCCATCTTTTTGAGTAATTATGCCAAAAAAGGATAGAACTAAATCAGCCTCGTGTGAGTCAGCCACCACTGATGACACATATGCACAAGATGATGAGCAGCGGTAAACCAGTACAGATGGCTCTCTAGTGGCGGTATTGAGGCATGACTTACAGGTCTTGAAAGGTGAAATTCAAGGTAAACTAGACCTGGTGATTTCAAATCAACAGTCTTTGCTCCAGAGATGGTTGCCATTGAGTCTCAACATACAGAGGTGGAAAAATCCATTACTTTCAATGCTCAATCCATCGAGGAATTGAAGGTCAAGAACACCGACCTTACAACAAAGGCAACAAAGATGATGACAAACCTTGATGAAGCATGGGCGAAGATCAACCAAGTGGAAGATAACCTGCTGTGGCCTCGAACTCGAAATTGAAAACACCCATCGATCTGGACGATTTTCAAATTTGTCTGATGGTAAACCTTGCTACCTTGGCACGTTCTTGCTAAATTTCTCTACAGATCTGAATGCCAAGCAGTTCTACTAAAGAGCAAATCCTCACTCGCCAGCTGCGGCATCTACATGTACATGTATGTTAATTAATGTACTGGGGGATCCTGCTCGACAAGCCTTTGCTTCTTGGGACCCCCCATCCGCATTTTTTTTCATGACATATTGTAATCGACAGTTAAGTGGTAATAAAGAATGAATGAATGAAATGAAAAAGGAATGTCCACACTTTGTACGTAAAACAAGTATGTTGGTGTATGCAGGGGTTTGGTTTCATTTTTCAAGCTCTAGGGTGGGTATTTTTATTCATTGTTCATATTTTACTATTGGCTTAACAAATGAAACAGCTGGATTTGTCAAATTACAAGTGACAAATGGGTGGGGCTACCAAGGGAAACAGTTCATTTCTGTTTTTTTTACGGTCCTCTGTCTAGACTCTAGTCTACAGAATGACTGACATGACAGAATTTAACAGCCAAACTTAATGTAATAACTTGATATAAATCAATTAAGGCTAACCAAGTTACATGTAACAGGATAAGTTATCATTTAACAAGTGCATATGGTTAGCTTCCACTGTGTACGTACGTGTACCATACACACAATAACATGCTTTTGTGTTCTTACCCTGTATTGTGGGAAATTGAAGGTCAATGATTGCATTTGATGAATGCTTTTTTATACATGTATGTTAGGCTCAATGGCATGATCATTTGAGCTGTACAATTGCTCTTACAAGCTGGGGTTCTCAGTGGGGCAATTCTTACATGTACTTTCACGAAGGAAAGTCAGGATACCCTTTTTATTTTAACTCAATTTTCCAACTTCCTATGCATGTACATGCCTAAGCTCTAGCCTACAATGTACATGTACATAAACATGATAAATCGATAAGGGTGCTAATCCTTTGGCATCGGTATCTCATTTTCTCAATAACAAAGTGTGATTCTTGTTACCTTTTACACATGCTGCAGATCCAAAAATTTTGATGCCAAAAATTTGGAATCTCAGTTTGGGCCAAAGTCACGAGCATCACCTATGGCCTTAACATGCTGAAGTTTAAATTACAGGCCTACATGTTGGCCTATTGCCATTGGACACGATAAATTGATGTACATGTACATACATGTATTTTGACATACTGTAGCCTTGAAGTTGTTGGCCTTTGCATGATGGCCTAGCTCAGCATCATTCATGATCATGTCCATCATATCATTGCCAATAGGCCAAAGTTAGTCCAAGCAACTTGAACTCTCCGAATTGCCCTGGTTTAGTTACTGAGTTGTGGTTACTTGGATCATTTCCAATTTCCATAATGTGGACAACACAAATTTTCCCTTAAAATGGCAACACTAAACTGCCATCAGCTGAAAATAGAGAGTGTTACCATGTCCTAAAATGTGAAATATATTTTCTACATGTAGAAAACGCTTAAACTTACTTAGGCCTCTGAGGCATATTTTTAGAAAGAGTTCCATGTAGGCCCCTAAATGATGTAGCCTACATACATGTACATGTATACACGTGTGGTGTACGTACGTAGGCCTGCGGCAAGTACCACCACTGCACCAGACATGCCAGAACACCTTGATGCCTGAACTTCTTAAGTTTAACGTTAGGCTCTCCGCGAGCAACGTGTGTGCACAAACAAACCCAGGACTTGCTTGAAAAAACTTAGGCCTAGGGCCTTCATTTAGGGGCCTCCATGGAACTCTCTCTAAAAATATGCCTACTTGGACGCGGACTAACATGACTAACGGATAGGACTAGGGCACGGGTCTGTAAGTTATGCCATAGTTTTTGCTCGTCACCGCCTGTACGTCACCCAGCGCTCTGTTCATTCAGGCGCTGGGTGACGAACATAACGAACGCGACGAAGCACGGCGTGGTCAGTGATCAGGTGATGATATATTAATATTATGCTAACCTCAGGTGCGGTTTTTTAACAGGCAAACCTTGCATAGCGTATGAACTTTCGCATATCCAAACGCTTAAATCCACCACGATTGTTTGACCCTTCAGTGACTTCAGAGGCTTGTGAGTTTTCACTGGAGCAAGAATGCCCCACAACTGATTCACTCCCATTTCTTCCCATAGATTTAGTCGGCACAGAATGGGGAAAATGACAAATATTTCAAACCAGCCGCCATTTAAAAATTCCTCTTTCAGCCCTTTGTATCCTTAAATAACTAATAAAAAAAAGCTATACATTGCAAAGATAATCACAAAGTTAAAAGAATAAAAATTAGAAAGGAAATATTTTTTTTCATTTTTTATTTTTAGACAAATATTCAAAAATTGACATTACGTGTTTAAAAATCTTCAATTATATATTAAGCAAATTTTCAAATTTATGCAAATATTCATGATACGTTCCATTTTCGAGTGAGGGGTTGCAAAGACGTACCATTTTGTTCGCGCCAGATTTCAAACCCGGCATCGTGGGACCGGCAACGAGTCACATTTCAACCAAAAATGCCGCTTTTAGGTCGAAAAGTTTATATTCCAAGAACGCAGGACAGGGCAGAGAAACACCCCGAAGGCCGTTTCAGGGTTCCATTCACCAACGAAGTCTGTAAAAGCAAGGAGTATCCTTTATTTTGTCACATGAAATCCGAGTGGCCGAATTGAAATCAAGATGGCGGCCCCCATGTAAAAGATTGAAAAATCAGCAGCACGCAAGCAAAAAAATGATGCTGCCGGCTTAATATCTGGCAGTTTTGTTCGTACAGTTTTCCCAGAAATTTTAGCAGAATTTCAAGCACAATAAATTTAGGATCATTTTGGTAATATTCATTTTTAATTTTCTGCAAAACGGAGAGGAGATAGGCCTAGGCTTATATTTGCAGTTAAATTCAGGAAAATGATTAAGCATAGGCCTCACTTGTAAAACAAAAAATGGTGATTGGGACTAGCCCCAGACTGGGGGCCAGTCTACTGAACTCTCTCCATATCATAGGCGCCACAGCGGTCCATTCCAAAGGTAGGGACTCGGCAAAAATGCCTTCTATGAAACCCTTGTTGCGTGTATGTATGGATCACGCACCCCATCAAACCATCGATGTATTACTTTGGGCGATTTCCAGTTCTTTGAAGTCTGAAATTTTGGTTTCGATTTTGGCCATTCGTTTTCTACATGTGAGTAGGCCTAACTCCCGATCGCTGACTGATGTCAAACACAGTCGGGATCTGTTTTGTCTGGGAACCAGACAGTGTTACATACAGTGATCCAAACTGCTGGTTTATCAGTGACCGTGTATCACTTGAAATGAAGCCTTGTGTGTATGCGTGAATGCATTGAATGTGTCAAAAACAACTGTCAGGTATTTTCATGGGTGCGCGTCATCATCGTGCGGGATAGGCTCTGCATGACGTATAACCAGGCACAAACAGGATTTTATTAAGTTATGTACCCATAGAAATACTGCTCCATTTCCCTGAAGAGTTCTCTGTAAGATAGCTTACACAGTCCATACCTTCGTTCTGATCTGAGTCATGCGGTTCACCAGTGTACTTGTGAAGATGAGCCACGACCAAATGGTTGACTATGGCTGTGATCGATACACAAGACATGGAAACTGGCTGCTGCCGCTTTCCGTACGTGTGTGTAATTCTTAGCCGCGCTGGTTGAAATGGCAGTCGGCTGTGGTGCGCTGGGGGTCACAGTGACCAATCATAGGGCTTCTTGTTACTTGAATACTTTTTGTCTAGGCAGTGATCTTTGTACACATCCACATGCGACTTTGACAGAAAGTGTTTACAGTGCCACAGCATGCTGACATGCACTGGCACCCAACGGCTGTTGCCTGTCGTTCCTGCAATTTGGGCATAAATAATGGAAAGGGGATGTGACTTATATGTTTATATCATATTTAAAATGCTAGTCAAGAAATTTGCTGAAAACAAGTTTTAAAAAGCTGTGCACCCTGGGGATATTGCAACAAAACATTAAACCATCTTATTATTTGGGAATTCTTTCTTCGAGACCCATCTACACATACGTGTACAGGTTGGGTTTCCCAGTATCTCAACTTCTTACAGGGTGTTTATTGGTCCAAAATTACCTTTACACATTCAGTCTTCATTTTACACACTGGAACGTCTCAAATCATTTCATGGAGGATGTTGATATGAAACATTCTTGGAAACCAGTTTTAGTTCTTTGAACTGTGCCATGTAATACATACAAAATATAAAGGAAGGTTTTAAAAGTAAAGACTGTGCAGTCTTTGTTTCTTTTTTACGTTTGCATTCTTTTCTAGACTTTGATCTGGTGTAAGCATCAACTGATTGAGTAGTGAATGGAAGAACAAAAGGCTTTACAAGATAAACTGCATATTTCTTAGCAAAGTTGTCGTGCTGATGCATTTAAATCAGAGACCGACTACCTTAGGTGTTCCTGATGTCACTCTGGAACAATTGTTATACATATGATTTTTTTTCTTCTGGCTTCCTCCATGTTCTGCACATGGTTTTTCATTCTCAGTGCCTCTTTTGGAACTAATTTCAATCTGATTAAAATCTTCAGTCCTGGCTTATTATATTGACCGTCATCTGAAGATGTGTCTTGAGAATTTTCTTCATGATGGCTTCAGTGGTCATATGACATCACCATCAAAATACTATTTTTTTAAGTCCATTATCTGAAGAACTGTTTTGTGTGATCACCCTCTTATCTTTGTGATGTGTGTAGGTACATGTACATTGTAAATTGTGCAAAATATGATGATGATGTCATCATGGAATTTCTTAATTGTTTTATCTTTTGTTTTGGCTATTCTGATCAAAATATTTTCTGAACAAAATAAGGCACATGTATTTCAAATACTTGAAATATTTGATTGTCATATTAAGTACAGTATTTGAAAAGTATCATGAAAGTCATCATGATACATGTACATGATACTGTTTATAATTTTTGTTCAATTTACATTGGAGCCAACAACCGATTTTCACTGAACTTGGTGGGTAGGTTTACATTTAAGGGGAATGACCGATTGTTATTGCACTTGGGGGATAGGTTTAATGTCCCAAAATAACAAATTTGAAATGACATTATCATTAAATTTTCATCAATTTTTAAACATTCATGTATTGCATTTTTTCTATAAAACCACTAATCAAATCAAGATATTTTCAAACTTCTTGTAACAGTTTTAGTACATGTACATGTATGTCATATAGATTTTCACTGAATTGAATGTTTGTGTGCGTCATCCAAAATGCAATTTGCTGATACACACTGCAGGAAATGTACATGTACTATCTTACAATTTTTGTACAAAAAATGGTGTCACCATGATGATGTCAATACCCACTTTTGTATGAATTTTAATAAGGGAATAAATGTGTGCTTCTCCGCTGTAGTCCAGGGACGGCGCTTCACTCGTCTCGATGGCAGAGAGGGTTCCCTTCTTTGTGATGCAGCAGCAACACCAGGAAGCTGTCCTATTAATGTAGAGGCAAGAAAAGGACATTAGAAATGTAGGTGACAGCTCAGCAGACAGCCTGTCCATGTGACAGACAGACAGCCCGACAGAGTAACAGACAGAAAGACCGACCGACCAAATCTTACCGTTTTCGACAGATTCATCGCAGGAGTCTTTACTGCTGTCCCCACTGTCACTGCTGTCCTCTTCACTGGTGAAGCCTTCTGAAAGTAAACCCCAAATTGAGATCAATTAGTTAAAGCACACATACATGCACGGGTGTCAAGCAGTCTCTGCTTGGTGTTGGGAATGGGGGGGGAAGTGGCCGGCCAAAATGGAACATTATTTTGGGAGTTCTTGACGCAAGATACATTTATTGGGGTGATTTTTGGTTCCCGTCTTTCTTTGTACTGGTCTGTTCTTCTGGGGAGGGGAGAATAAGAAGAGCGGTATTGTTTCCAGCCGAGTATGATGCCCTACAAAGTGGGAGTCTGGGTTGGGTTGACTTGGTTCGAAGTCAAGCATTGGGTAGACGGAACATGGGAAACATGGTTTGAGTACAAGGTGCCCTTACCTCCAGTTACATGCAGATCATCCAAGGATTTGCCCTGCTGGGAAGGCAGGTTGCCCCTCTCCAAAGTCGGGAAAAGTCTGGACATTTTGGTGGCCCGCTGTACAGTATCTGGCAACTGGTAGTATTCGCGATGTACCCGCAGATCGTGGCCCATGAAGTTGGCTAGAGTTTCAAGCTGATGTTCCTTTAATGCAAGAATTTGCGATGCAGTTGCTACATGTTTACGGAGTTTGATGGACCAGATGCTGGATGCATTGTCAAGGCCAGCCTTATCTGCATGTGCCCTTAAACAGTCACTCCCTCGTATGTGGCCTCTCCCGCCATAGCAACACCGTGGGAACAAGAAGTTGTCTTTGGCTACTCCAGCTTCATGTCTCTTGGCAACAAAGGCATTCAGACTTGCTAATGCCTCGTTGCTTAGAAGCACGGGAACAGTTCTGCCTCTCTTGCGGACTATTTCGACAACACTGAACATCTTGCACAGCTGGCGTTCTAAATCACTCAACAGGCATTCCCCCTCCAGTTTGGCGGTGCTGTGCTGATGGAAATCTTCAAGTTTCATTTTTGAAACCTCCCCCTGCCTTCTTCGGTTGAACATGATGAGGTGGCACAGACTGGCCTCATTCAATTTCTGCCAAACTGGCCTGATTTGTTTGCCCCGAGCACCCTGCAGGAGTTGAAGTTCCCGGTTGCCAGCTTCATGAAGGAACA